TAACCTGGTGTTGTGTGACTTCTGGTTTAATCTTTACCAGTTCAAGTTAAGATTCACTGACCTATAGAATGTTCACTGTCTTGTGCATGAAAACACACTATCAAAGATGCTCCACTTCACCTAATGAAGAAGCAGCACTCTGAAAATTTGTGATTTAAAATAAACCCGTTGGACTATAACCTGGTGTTATGTGACGTCTTACTTTGTCCACCCCAGTCCAACACCGGCACCTCCACATCATGATAAAGATTAGGCACAACATTCGCTATTCATTCTAAACAATATGCCATGAAATGGTCAGCTGATCTCATCTTTAGATGTCAGCCATGGCTTGCTATTGCACTGTAACTTCTGAGTAAGAGTATTGCTGATTGAAGTCCCACTGCAGAGCCACAAATACAAAATCAAAGCGAATTAAAGGTGTCGACTTTCAAATGAAACATTGAGCCAAGGCCCAATCTGCTCTCCCCGATAAACATTAAAATTCCATGGCATTATTTGGAACATGACCAAGGGAGCGAGCAAGCATCACTAAATTCCAATCATAACAATTGTATGCTTAACCTTGCTGCGAACAGATTGGCTGTTACATTAGCTATACCGCAATAGTGACCGCAACTGAGTTACCAACCATCGTCTGCTCCAACATTAAATTGCTTACTTCTACCTCTGCAGTTCATTATATTTGCCCTTCCCTCAGTTCATTTGCTGGTGAAATTTTCATTTTTTTTAACGTGTTTTATTCAAGTACTGTTCCTGCCTAGCATCCCATTTTCCACCTTCCAAATTGAGCTGTCTAAAACACCGCTGCCCGCATCATAGCTTGCAGTAAATCCTTTTTACCAATCACTCTTAAGCTTGCAGATGTCCATCAGTCCCTCTCTACCAATACTTTACTGTTTTTATTCTTGCTTTTAAACCTCTCAGTGATCTGACTGTTCTATCAGTGGTGTCTTCTGCATTCCCACTTCCTTAATTGTCTACCATTGGCAACTGCGGATTCTGTAGTCATAAGATAAAGTTTAAAAATAATGTTATTAATTGATGAACAATTCATATATTCAAAAAAGACACATTCGTTGAAAATATCCACTCACTATATTTAATTTCCTTTAATCCATTACAAAAAAAACTAGCATTAAAATTTATAGTTTCAGCGTTTATAACCACTTGCAGTTGTAATGAAATTGAATTGGCAGGCAACTGACTGTGATAATAGAAAGTTATGAAATCAGTAATGCAGCACTAATTTAGTAAGGTTAACCTTCATGCTTATGTCAACAGAAAAAGTGAAATAGTAAGCTTTTTCTTTAAAAACTTCAGACAGTTTTCTCAAATATTTAAAGGCAAGGGTTTCAAATGCTTTCGCTGCTTGATGATTAGTTTTGATAGTTGGTGTTGATGGCTATTTTGGACAAGTGGTTTCTTTATACAGCTATTTTGGGCAGTTGTTTTAGACAGTGCCTTTCGGCAGCTCCTTGTGTTCTTTGGTTTTGATACTTGCTTCTCATATGGTTCTGATGCAACTTTCTTGAACATTCATATATTGATGTCCACCTTTAACCACACTTAAAGTACCTGACCTCTCCCAAAGAGCATTTTATTACCCAAAACATATTTAAAAGGGTATCCTACCTCCCTGAGACATTTTCCAACATATCCAAGCCACAACTCAAAGTCCACGGCTTTCCATTGAAGTGTAATCTGCAGATAATGTGTTTCCCACTCCTGGCTAATAAAATCAGCCAAGACGGGACGCAACTATTGTTTTAAATGGGAAGCTATCTCTGTAAACCACACTAGTGCTATTTGGAGACAATTCCCCACCCCATCTCCCACCCAAAATATGGTAGGAACTTATGTTGGAGAGCAAGACTTAAGAAATTTGACCACCAGAGCCATTTCAAAATAGTGAACAGGTCCAACTGATTGACCACCTATCAAATATTTCTGCCAATGGCTCAGTTCCATTTTTGTTTGTTAATGCTCCTGTGAAGTACCTTAATATGTTTTACCGTATTAACGGTGTTATGGAAATTCAAGTTATTGCTTTTTACTTAAACTGAAGTTATTATTCAACCAATGTAGTTTATTTATTATTTTTCGTTCTAAACAATGATTTGCCATAATGAAGAAGCTTGTATCTTAAACTTTTCCATGCTTCATGCTCATTAAAAACTCATTTTGTATCAGCAAGCTGGTGGTATTTATGACTTCACATGTTGAACTGTTAAGGCAATTGGACTACTTTGCAAATATAATATTGGCATGAGGTGTTGTTATCATCACAGAAAGTGAAAGGGTCAGAAAGAGGGTGTTCAAGTCAGGTGAGAATTAATGAATTTTGGCATCTAAAGTAATAGGCTAAGTGCAGGATGTGAGGACGTGGCCGTCTGCATAGAAACAAGTATGAACAACGAGACTACTTGTCCATTTATGAGAATAGGTTGAAAAGAAATTTACACCAATTATGGTTATCAACTTTTGCAACTACATGTAGTACTTCCTTATCTGTTTGCACCATATTCTTGTCTTCGTTTTGATTTGATTTCCCCTAAAGAAAAATGAAATTGTACTGAAATGCTGGAAATGTATTTCACTCACTGAAGTGTTCTGCGTGATGTAGCATTGTTTACTGGAAAAGTGAAATTGTTCCATGGTGAATACTCACAAACTGTAGTTCAACCAGCCTCCCTGAATAATAATAAATGGATCAAAGGTAATACCTTCTTACCTTTGGGCAAAAAAAAAATTATTTTTTACGAGCCCGCTCAAGCTAAATCTGATTAACAGGGAGCCAAGGTTGCCTTTTATCCCAGATGTTCAATACAAGAAGATTGTTGTCAGTGCATTAATAGCTATTGACTATAAATACATCACAACTGTATTCATATTCTAGTTTTTCTTCACACATCCAATTTGTACTTCCGTTAAAGAGACCATGATTTCTTACAGTGAACCAATGAATTTTTGAAGTTTATCATTGATTTACTGCTGGTCCTTGTAGACATGAGGGATACACAGGAGAGCGGCTGCAATTGCCCTTCCTATTGTGGGTATCTGTTCATCTTTTACTTTTATGGTCCTCCATGGGGAGGGGTGGGGGCTGATTCTTCTGCTGGGCTGTGGGGGATTGAACCCATGGCTGGCTGTGAGCAGGCAAAGTTACAATCCTGTGTTATTCTCTTCCCTGAACTGCAGGCCATGGTGGAGACAGTTAACAATCTCTTACAACCTCAAGCCTTGGATGCTTGGAAGGACCTCATGACAAGCGATCAGCTGCGAGCAGCCACTATGTTACTTGATACAGTGGAGCAAGGCGCATTTGTCCTTGCTGACAACCTGCTCAAGACAGACAGAGTCCGAGAAAACACTGAAAACATACGTGAGTATAGTCATTGTGAAAGGCAATATCATATTTAAAGAGGTTAGGAAACCTCTTTTTTGGCAGTGAGTGCTGTTGATAGTATTGGAGACATAGTTTTCACTTAAGTGAATAGCTGTTACCTCACTAAGTTTTATTTTTAACAAAAGACCAAATTGCAGCTGGTCCAGAAAAATTATCACACAGGCTTCTGAAAAATGCGTTGAATAAATTTAAACTCCACAGACCTGAAAATGTTGATACATGAATGTTGTTTTCCCCTTCCAGCACAGCTTTGAGTTTTGAGCAATGAGCAACCTTTTAAATTGGTTAAATCAGTTTGGCAGAAGTTTTAAAAGGCCTTCACTGTAAAAATATGAAATATGTACAGTTTATACTGCACGCATTTCATTAGTTACCAGTTTGTCCCTTTGAATGGAAACACCAGAGTGCAATCATGTACTTCCGTCACAGTCACAAGTTTGCACTCTGGTGTTGTCCTTAGGCCACCACAGGGAGAATCAGGGAGAAGAATTCTTGCTCTAACTTTGAAAATTATGATAAATATGAGCAGGATGGCCGAATATTCCCTTTGAGGCAGGCATCGGGATTTGGACCATTTGCTGAAGTCACAATCTCGTCTCTTGAATGGCTATGCCCAGTATTCCACCACCTCCTTCCCCCTTCCAGAATCCAGGACAGACTAAAGTGGGTCATGGCCTTTTGAAGCAGGAGTGATGGAGGTGACCAAGTTTGAAGGACTGCCTCCATTCATTGGACATTGGCCCAGTTCGATACATCTGAAGTCCTCCTAACCCTGAGATCCCCCACCCATCCATCACTTCCCAGTGCACAGTTGTATAAGCTATCTTCCAGAACTAAATTCTTCTGGTCAATTCAATGATCAATTAACTCTTAAGAACCAAACCTTGTTATTAGTCATTGTGTTAAAACACATCATGCAGTATTCCATTATGACAGGGATTTGTCAATTCTTTTTAAATTATGTTACTAGCTCCAGACTAGGGCTATCCCATAATGCCTCTGAGCCATTACCAACCATTTTGCCTTCATAATTCTGCCAATTCCATGGAGACTGTGGAAGGTCTCAAATGCCCAGTCCCAGAATGGGGCCAGCAAGGGCTGTGTACAGGCCCATGATTGTCCTCCTTGCCCGAACCAATCAAAATATCTAGTGGTAGCAATGGAAAGTTGCACCTCCACATGTGGGAGTCAAACATCTCCGCTTGTAAACGGCCAATGTGGCTTTGCCTTTTATCTGGAATAGGATAATCTGACCTCCACTATAATAGAGAAGACAGGTATTGAGGTGGATTGTATAGATGCATTTAAGGAGAAGCTAAAAATAAATGTGATGAAAAAGTTATTTGATGGTATTAGTATAGTATATAATCAGTATATTATAATTATACTGATAATATGAGATATTTAGAAGTGATCAAATTGAGCATAAACTTTAAGAAGGACAGATAGGGCCAAATGGCCTGCTTCTATGCTGTATATTCCATGAAAGACACTTTAAAAATGGCCACCATCAGAGAACATCCTTCTTTTATTCAGATTTTATCAATATCTTTTTCCAAACTTGAAAACATAGTTATAAATGTACTGATATGGAACAGTAGACAACAATATCTGGTGTGTTGTAGAAGATGTTAGTAAGGTCTGGTTTCCACAAGACTAATTGCTTGTTTGTGCTCTTAATGTAAACAGTGTTAGAGGTTGCCCGCTTGAGCACAGATGGAACATCAGAAGATTTGCAATTTCCGCAAAATGGACTGAATGGGAACTCCATCCAACTTTCTGCAAGTACTCTGAAAAAGAATGGTCGTAATGGTAAGATTTAACTGAAATTGATTCCTCTAAATGAGGTATCATTGAAGTAAAAGATGTGGATTTGGGAATCATGACTATCCGAATGTCTCAGTAAGGGACGGTGTAAAGGAGTAACTTTGCAGTGTTGAAACTCTGGGAAGGAGAAATAACCACTTCTCTCCACATAAGCAGCTTGCTGAAGGAGAATTGGTCACAAATGTGGACATTAGGCTGAATAATTGTCGAGCTGGCACCAACAGTGGAAGTCCATGCTATCAGTGGTGCCATGCCTTCCCATCACTAAATTGTTATGGGCGTAGCCATTGATGCTATTTATATTCAGACCACCCACATTAAAACCTATTTGGCATTAGTGCAAGACTCCCTCACTACCTCCCGAAAGCCAATTGAAAGGCAAATAAACAATTTAGGATTAAGGAGAATAAGAACTGGGCGGGTTCAGGCAAAACCAGATGTTCTCCAGCAGATTTCCAATGGGAAGCAAAGATGAAGATCTTCCCCAAGAATCCTGGGGCCTATGTTAAAATATATTGCTGAAAGTTAACCACTAAAAAGCTTGTTAAGGCCGTGTTAAAGATCAACCATAGGAAACTCATGACGATTTGCTCCAGAGATTTGTGTAGAAATTGCGTTATGGACTTGAATTCAGACTTGCTTGTTAGTTATAGGAGTAAATCATTGTAAATCATCTGTGTAGCTAGATGTAATCTAGACGTAGCTAACAGTCCAATAAAAATGCAAAAATTCTACAGATAATTTTGATATCAGCATTTTATTGAGTTGGAATTGTAGTTTTGTGTTTTCAGCATACAAACTTCACTTAGGGTTTGAAGGAAATATAGAAGTGAATCAATTTCATCAACATGTCAGACTGATGATAAAGATACTGATATGTTTCAGTGCCTTACTACTTATGCCAGAAAAGTTGATTGAATTTCAGAACATTTCAAAGCCATTATTTCTTGCAAATAACAAATCAGTTTTAAGTTATTCCAAGCATGTTAGAGAAGGAAAAATTCAACATTTAAGATATTTAAGAGTTTGTTACAGTGTTTTCATATTGTACGCTTAATTGAGAATGTAAATATGTAGCAAGTCCTTAATAAATTGGATACAAAACCAATACCTTCAATAAGGAGCAGCTTTTCCTACTAGTGGTAAATATGAAAGCCCAACCAATGGGCAAATTTATCACAGAAGCACATACGTGTTTCAGCACAGCAGGATCCCATCATGCCTGCACAGACTTGTTAAATGAATATCATTTCCTAGTGCCAATTACCTGCCTTTTCCCCGTGTCATTGTACGTTATTTTTATCCTATTAATTGTTCAAAGTCCTCATGCATGCTGAATTGCACTTGCCTCCACAACGCTTCCTAACTATGGGCTGTGAAAAATATTTTCCTCACTTCACTCTTACTTTGCTTTGCAGACAAGTCAAAATCTATGCCCTCTTGTTCTTGTTCCACTTGAATTGGAACAAGTTTTCCCTATCCAGCCCACTTATGATTTTGAAAACCTCTGTCAAATCACACCTAGTCTTCTCTCCCAAGAGGAACAGACCCAACTTCTTCAATCTATCCTCATAACTGAAGTGTATCATCCCGGAGAGAGGTTCTGCTTAGAGAATGAGATACTGGGAACTACTTTGGAAAGTAGAACCTCACAGGTTATAACCTTCGGATTATCTATGAAATTTATACAAACTGGCATAGGGTATGTCAAATTAGGGAGATGAATAAGTAATACAAGAAATGACAAGGGACAACAGAGACCTAGAGTGCAGGTACATAGTCCCTTGAAAGTGGCAGCATAGGTAGACAGGGTGGTAAAGAAGGCATTTGGCATGCTTGTTTTCATCAGTCAGAGGATTGAGTACAGGAATTGGAATGTCATGTTATGGCTGTACAAGACATTGCTAAGGCCACATTTGGAGTACTGCATACAATTCTGGCCACCCTACTATAGGATGTTATTAAACTGGATGGGATGCAAAATAAATTTACAAAGATGTTACTGAAACTGGAAAGCTTGAGTTATAAGGAGAGGGTGTTTTTTTCCCTGGAGCATAGGAGGCTGAGGGGTGACCTTATGGAGGTTTATAAAATCATGAGGGGCATGGATAGGGTAAAAAGCCAAGGTCTTTTCCTTCTGGTTGGGGAGTCCAAAACTCAAGCGTATAGATTAAGGTGAGAGGGGAAAGATTTAAAAGGGACCTGAAGGGCAACTTTTTCGCACAGAGGGTGGTATGGGTATAGAATAAGCTGCCAGAGGAAGTGGTAGATGTGAGTGCAGTTACAACATTTAAAAGATATTTGGACAGGTACATAGTTGGAAAAGGTTTCGAGGGATATGGGTCAAACACAGGCAAATTGGGCTAGTTCAGTTAGGGAAACCTGGTCAGCGTGGAGAGCCTGTATCTGTAATGTATAACTCTATGATTCTATGACTCTAAAGTGGGTTCGAGTTCATGGGCCATTGTGTCTGGAATTGGCGTAAGTGATACTTGGGAACATTTACACCTGAACTGTGTTCAGGTTCTTGCAATCCACATAACTAATGAAATAGAGAAGGTTTAAAACTAACTAATGGGAAGGGTGATCAGTGTTTTTATATGGACATTGCTGGTCAGGCCTGTATTTATTGCCCATCCTGAATCTCCCCGAGGGCAGTTAATAGTCAACCACATTGCTGTGTCTAGAGTCCATGTTTGTCAGACTAAGTAAGGGTAGCAGATTTCCTTCCCTAAAGAATATTAGTGAACCAGATGGGTATTTACAATGATTTCATGGTCACCTGCAGATGTACAATCCTTGGTTATCCGTAAGACATTTGATAAGGTGCCGTATCGAAGGTTATTGCAGAATATAAATACTCACGTTGCTTGGGTAACATATTAAAATGGACAGAAGATTGTTTTTTGCCAGTCAGCCAGAGTATGCATAAATAACAGTGTGGAGCTGGAGGAATACAGCAGGCCAAGCAGCATCAGAGGAGCAGGAAAGCTGACGTTTTGGGTCGGGACCCTTCCAAAATGTCAGCTTTCCTGTTCCTCTGATGGTGCCTGGCCTGCTGTGTTCCTCCAGCTCCACACGTGTTATATCTAACTCCTGCATCAGCAGTTCTTACTATCTCTGAGTATGCACAAATAGACCTTTGATTGGCAGGATGTAATATGTGGAATTCAACAGTTTTTTTTCTAGAGCCTCAGCTTTTCATACCTTATGTCAATACCTTAGATGAGGAGGAAGTGCTGGATTCACGGATGATGTCAAGATAGGTGAGATTGTATGTTATGAAGAAGACAAAAGGAAGATGTAGACGGACATAGGTTGAGTGTGTAGGCAAATATGTGGGAAAATGTAAAGTTCACTTTGGCAGGAAGAATGAAAAAACAGTCTATCACTCAATTGACTACAGAATTTAGAGTGCAGCGAGATTTAGATGGATCTGGTGCACAATTCACCACAGGTTAATTTGCAGGTACAGCACATCAGGCTAACAGAATGCTATCCTTCGTCACAAGAGGAATTGAACATAAAAGTAAGGATGTTATGCTTCAGTTGCACAGAGCATCAATGAGACCACATTTCAAATACTGTGTGCACTTTGATTTGTTATTCAAGGAAGAATATAACAGTATTTGAGACAGTTGAGAAGCAGTTTATTAAATGGATATCCAGATTGAATGGCTATAAGAAAAGGATGGACAAGCTGGGCTTGTTTTCACAGCAGGCTAGAAGAGTGAGGAGTGCCCTTTGAGAACAGAGTGGAGGATTGTTTTCTCTCAGAAGGTTGTTCAATTTTGGAATGTTCTACCGTGGAGGCAGGGTTATTAATATTGTCAAGATAGAAGTGGATAAATTCTTCTTAGACTGAGGAATAAACAATTTTCATCAGTAAATGGGAATGTGAAATTCAAAACACAAACAGATCAGCCATGATCTTATTAAATGGTAGAACGTAGATTAGATACTTTATTCGAGCAACTTTCTCACCATGGTAGGAGGCTCTTTCTGAATGGAATACTACTTTATAGGTTTTGGAAATCAGATTAATTTAGCACTGCAATATTTTGTGCTGGTTGCAAAAAAGGTCAGCTTTCCTGAACTTTTGAGTCACGGTAAGGTAAAACTCCACTGCATTCAGGCTTTCAAGGAAGCACAAGTACAGTCTCCAATCTATTTTTAAATAATCACTGAACTTCCATTTTTTGAAATGTCAGTAAAGGTAATATGTGATATCCCTTTGTTGCAGGTGAGATAAGAGTGGCTTTTGTCCTCTACAATAATTTGGGAAGCTATCTTTCTACAGAGAATGCCAGCTTCAAGCTAGGAAGTGAGGCGATGTCAACGAATCACACTGTTATAGTCAACTCACAGGTCATCTCTGCAGCAATAAATAAAGAAAGCAACCGAATCTACTTGGCAGCCCCTGTCATTTTTACCTTAAAACATCTTGATGTAAGTAAAAAATCGGCTCATTCTGTGCTCAGTGCACTGTTTCTACTTGTGTGTCTCCCTCTACTACCTCAGCACTTTCCAATCTGCCACTGTCTAATGCCCCCATGTTTGCACATTAAACTGATCAACTAGTCTTAATAAAAGGAAAATACTGTGAATGCTGCAGCTCTGACATAAAAACAGTCAGTGCAGGAAAAACTCAGTTGGTCTGGCAAGATCTGTGAAGAAAGAAATAGAGATAATATTTCAATTTCAACATGACTTTTTCATTAACTCTGTAACTTATTTTAATGTTGGTACAAACTTGCCAATTTCTTTCATGTTTCAGTTTCAGCCAACTAGTCACACTTGGTATAACGACTTGCAAGATAATTGAACAATGAGCCCATTTATATGATGAAGAGTCACACTGCCATTAGAGTATTTTTCTTTTCACCACTTCAATATATATTTGTTATTTCTTATCTATCATGTTGATGTAGGAACATAAGAAATAGGAGCAGGAGTGGATTATCCTGCCTGTATAGTTGCTCCACATTCAGTAAGATCTTAGGTTCGATTCCACTTTCCTGCCAGCTTCCCTTAACAGTCAATTCCCCCGCAGATATAAAGAAGGTACTAATAATTAAGGGCACCAGAAGCTTTATCCATTACACGTGTGAATGTGACAGGGCATTACAGAGCCCAAATTACATTATTGAATACTGGTAAAGTTCCCTGGTGCCCTTTTCAAATGACATAATTTCAATGTCTTGTTCAGCAATGCATAGCATATTATTTTCTATGGTTAAATCAAGATTGCAGGAATATTTTGCTTCCTTGAGAACCTGTTATGCTTCCTCTGTCTGAGGTGAGAGTAAGCATCCTTATGAATCTTTGCATTGAATGCCCAATAATTAACACAGATCCTCAGTTTTCCATCTTACTTCCTCATGTGGGCTATCAGAGAGGAGTATGGATTTGATGAGTTTTGAATGACACCTTACTCCAAAGACTTCTGCAGGGAGTCCTGGATCTACTCCCAGAGGTAGCATGGGATCCAGCGTGGTGAATCTTTACTGGACAATCACCTTTAGTCTCAATCCTGTTGCTTACCAGGTCACAATATGCAGTGTTGCCATCCTCCTTACTGAGAGTTGCCTCATACTCAGTGGGATTAGAAACAAATTGCCCTCTCTATGCCTCATTTAAGTCACCAAGGTCCATCTTTGAAATATGATCAGAGATGTCTTCTCCAGTTGGTCCATTCTTCAGGACAGTAGCAGGTTTAAAGACCTCAGCGGGCATTCTGAGTTGGAGGTAAGAAGCCTTGTCACTGAAATTGGTGATCTGAATGGCTGCACTACATTTTTCTCTCCCAACAACAAGGGTGGTTCCCAGAGTAACATCAGTAAGACCATTGCTTAAATGTTACCATTAACAAGAGACAGCTAACAAGATGCCTTCAAGAACAGCAGAGGTGTGAGCAGAGTGACCGAACAGCCCACTTCCCTGCTAATTAACCAATTCCAGGGTACCATACTGGCTGCCCCACCACGTGTGCTTGGAGCAAGACTCCTGAGCCCTATCTGCTGACCTCATAAATTGTTACTCATGCTGGTTACCATGTGTGCTTTTTGAGGAGTCTCTGATATTTCTTAACATTTGACCCTGGTACCACAATTATTCCAAACTGCCTTACTTACACTAAGCATTGATCGAGTCACAAGCTACCATAAAAGACAGTTTCCTATAACCTGATTGCCAACAGGGAGAGCTCATTTGGCCATTAGAGGAGATGGCCTGACCTCTGAAAAGCTGAGATCTGGTTGTGGGAGGAAACATTGATCATCTCAGATGCCTAGGCGAGGTGCTTTTGTAAAAACTGGTGAACAAAGGTTGATACCTCTGCTCCTATGTCAGTTGTGCACAGTGCTTCCAACTTGCCTAATCTCATGTCTGCTCTAGGTCAGGTCACTCTCCCTTTACATAAGACCAAGCCACGTTTTGAAAGGACCTTTCTCCCCCGGCCTGAGTCTCAGTGGGAAGACAAACCGGTTTAATGTCTGGTGAGAAGGGAGCACCGTTGTGCCTGGCTGCAATGGTGGTTGTGGTTGTGAGGGCAGTCTCATTTGTAGAGCCCAGCCCTGTTATAATTCCAACACCTCTTCAGATTATCCCTAGGGCAGGACCTGTTGCAAAGCATAACCTGGAGACAGGACAGCAAGGACAGATCTGGGCTTGCTGTGCAGAAACCTGTCCCACCTGCCTCTTCACCATGAGGTCTACACGCCAGTCTGTCCTGACAGTCACCTCTCTGATGGTAGCCTCTTTCTTGGTCTTCAGAGTCAAATCTTTCTCCATAATCTAGATGATACTTCAAACAAGAACAATTCGAGTTTGTCACTGTTAAGCCTCTTCAACTCTATCTAGATGTTCCCATCCCTCACCCCTTTAGCTCGATGGTCCTTCTGATGCCTGACCCTGGTTGACTTGAAGAGGAATCCAGGAGGAGAATGCAGTCAAGACACTTCACTATCTTCAGAGATATGGATACCCAGACCCACACCCCACCCTATCCCTGCATTACTCACCCTAGACACTATGGGCAATTTAGCACAGCCTATCCACCTAACCTGCATATCTTTGGACTGTGGAAAGAAACCGGAGCACCCGGAAGAAACTCACACAGACACTGGGAGAATGTGCAAACTCCACACACAGTTGCCCAAGTCTGGAATCAAACCCAGGTCCCTGGTGCTGTGAGGCAGCAGTGCTAACCACTAAGCCACTGTGCCACCCATCAGGTGATAAAGTTCAGGCAAACTGTTTACTTTGAATTCTACAAATGGCAGTTTAAAAAGACTATGGGTATAGTAGACAAACACATTGGTCTTTCATAGAGTCATAGAAGTCTACAGCACATAAAAATGCCGTTGACCCATTGAGTCAGTGCCAATCAAAAACAAGCCCCTAACTATTCTAATCTCTTTTTCCAGCCACATTTTCCAAAACAATTGAAACAATTTTCACCACTTTAGTTGTGTGGGATCAGTGTGTTTGGAGAGCTTAAAATGAGGTGACGTTCTTAAGTGCAGTAAAGTCTTAAAATCTCCTTCGGGTCTGACTGTAGGTTGGTTGAGGCCACCTACTCAGATAATAAGCACAACAATGGAGAAAGATGCACATATTTTCAAGGCACTGCCGTTTCTGAGGTATAGACATCAGTTTCTCCCTGCAACTAGATTTCCCAGCTGTAATGTTCTATTCTCTTGAGATCTGCTTGAAACTTGATATTAGAGTTTTTCATTTAAAATTTCATCAAGATCTTCCATTATCCCAAATTGTTACAATTGTAGTCTTCAACATCAGCTATAAAGATTTGATCAGGTCCATTAGCTACTTCTTTATGTCAGCTCAATAATGCAAACTATTGTTCCTCTCAGTCATTTCTAAGGGAAAGCTTGCTGCTGTTTGCATGCAATGCATAAAAGCACGTTGAAAAGTTTGCTATTCATCACAAACAACTCAGACCTTTCTCGTCTAATACACCCTTTGCTCCTACTTTTCATTTATTCTATACTTCTGCTGCTTTTTGTTAATAACATTGAATCGTCTGCCTGATTATGTAATTACACCAAAGCTCCAAATTATTTCCAATGTCCCATAGCTCTCCCCATTATTCTGTTGTTTGCAAGTTTGACATAGTTGCTAAACTGTGCAGATGAGAAACAAGAAAGGATATATTAACAATTTCTGCAGAACACTACTTCCCTACTCTACTGTGACTCTGAAAGTGTTGTCAGTCCCGTATCTCTTCGCCACTCCCAGGTTTTACTCTCAAATCACAATGTTCTGTTTATTTAGAAGATGTCCATGTAGAAATTTGCCAAACACTTTGGAAATTTCAAACAAGCCATATTATTGCTAGATCACTGTATCTGTAATACCTTCAGAGACCTTTAAGGTTTGCTCAACAGTGTTTTTCCATTCTAATTTCAGGCTGGCTGCCTGTGTTTTTTATATAGGTTCTTATTAAAAATGTTCCTGGTAAACAACTAGGTTCAACTAAGTAGTATGTTCTTCATGCTCCAATTAAATCAAGGTCTAATGACAGGCTTGCTGACTCATAATTCTCTTTCAATGTTCAGTGGGCATTGCCACTTTAATAATCAAATGGGGTCAGAGTAATACACAATTGGCAGGCACTGTTAAATTGCTTGATCTGAATTGCAAATGAAGCAGATGGTTGTTACAGAGTTGATTCTAGTTGTGGTTTCAAATTAATCAAAACCAAAGAATTAATTTGGTAATAGTGAAGTGCTTGAGAGCAATCTGAATTTTATAGCTTCTGCATGGAGAATGTGACATGTAACAGATTGCTTCTTGACTGAGGAATGAATGTATTGAAGAACTGGCTCACCGGAGGAGAGATGGTACTTGTCACAGTTTGAAAGGTTTACCTTGTTTTTTGTTTCAGCTCCAAAACAATTTTAACCCTAATTGCTCATTCTGGAGCTACTCAAAGCGCACAATGACGGGATATTGGTCCACGCAGGGTTGCAGAATGCTGGGCTCAAACAGGACACACACCACATGTTCCTGTAATCATCTGACAAACTTTGCCGTCCTCATGGCACACAAAGATGTTAAGGTAAGTTTCAGGCCAGAAATGTCTTTATGTCCAAGCACTGGAAGATTGCTTATTGTGGAAATCAAAACAATGTCTGTCAATACAGAGGATCTCAATAAAACTGGCTCCACTTGCTTTGTATTGCCGGGCCTGTAAAAAGAAATGAATTTTCCAAGAATCAAGCCAAGTATTAACTGTTTTACAGTGCATCATGGAAAAACACTGTCTACCCAATTGAAGGAAACTGGACAGGAGGTGAAAAATTTCAACATGTGCTGAGTCTTTAGCTCCACACTAACTCCCTTCTTGATTCTTGTAATACACAGATTGAGCTAAGGTCTGGTTTAAACCTCTTTTATCCCATCGATTCAGTCAGTTTGGAAGCTAAAGTTAGTTAGAACCCTTGGATTTTGAGCCACCTTGTTGAGTGATTGTCTAACGCCAGCAACATATTATTACTGAATGAATAAATAACATGTAACAATCTGAAAGTTTTCTCCCTCCCCCACACTCCATCAGACTTGAGTTCTTGTGCAAAATCCTACAAAAGCCGCAGGCTGAAGCATTGTTGATACATGACTGGTGAGAGAGCTGTGTCTACAAAAATTTCAATATCAACATCAAATGCAATTTTATCTTAAAAGCCTTGTACACTATTTGTTTTATTTATTATTTCATTCCCTCCATATGTTTATTCTAAGGGTGGAAAAGCTGTCGAGCAGCACCTCTAAGATTTATTTTTTTCAGTTTATTTTTTGATCAGTCATGTTTGAGATTCTCATCCCACACTTTCATTTTATTTGCCTGTAACTGCATTTTACTTTCAGTGTTCACAAAAGGAAAAAGAAGTTATTTCATTGACATGAATTGGTCCTGTCCTTTGATAGCTCTTTCTTTAAATTGATTTTTAAAGATGCATTCCCATATATCTGAGGCCATTGCTGTGTTTTCATTGCGATGTTTGTGTTAAGGAAACTAGATTTACAGACATTACTGTGCCTGCGCTGAAAGCAATACAATCAGGGATTTCAGGCCACTTTTTTGATCTGGTTGGTAACAATTGATAGCTGCTTGATTTTAACCAGTTCAGACATTGTACTGTTAGGCTCCTGGACCCTTTTGTGGTGTATTGGTAGTGTCCCTTCTCTGGACCAGGGAGGCCCAAGTTCAAGTCCCACCTGTGCCAGATGTGTGTAATAATATCTCTAAACAGGTTTTTTAGGTAGTGTTAGGTTCCTGTAAAGTCAATCAATTCTTCTTAACTTTTCTGCCCTGATTCCTGGTAATGTTTTATTCTCCATTTGATTTGATTTATTATTGTCTCATGTACCTAGGTACAGTGAAAAGTTTTGTATTGCATGCAGTACAGGCAGATCATACTATACACAGATCATAGGGTGATAGAACAGAGCGAGGAATACAAATTTATGGCAGCAAAGAAGGTGCACAAACAGCAAGATCAACATTAGTTTTGAAATTTGAGAGGTCCATTCATCAGTCTAATAACAGCGTGGAAGGAGCTGTTCTTGAACTTGTTGGTACATGTGTTTAAGCTTTTGTATCTTCTGCCTGACGGAAGAGGTTGGAAGAGATTATAACCGGGGTAGAAGGTGTATATACGTATCTCATAGGTTTCCAATTGGCTGAAATGGACCTCAAATTCTACTTTAATTTAACGGTTTGATAGCTTTACAACTACATAAAATACAAGCTGTAAAATGTTATCAGTTTTAAAAAGTGTGTAGAACTTGTAACATCGCGTTTAGTTCGAAGAGAGAAGTGATCGCTTCATTCTGCTGATGTCACCATCAGAGTAAAGTCAAAGAATACATACGGCTCTTATTGATAATAAAACACAAACCAGAATTCACTGAATGGAGAAGCACATTGTCCCCTAATACTGCTGCAGGGAAACCTTTTGGCTCAGACTAAATCTAGGCTCCGAGTTGCGAGTCATCAGAGGATTTTGAGATCATCACTGGTTTGTTATCGGACATTGAAGGACTGTCGGTTGAGCTGAGCACCAGTTGGTTGATCTTTACACTGACTTTGGCCTAATGCTAATTCATTGTCCAGCCAACCAGGATTATGGCCTCGGCAAATGCCCAAGCCCCAGGCCACGGTGTCCAAGCACAGTCAGGCTGACTATGAAGAAGGTCAGAGAGTGAATTCTGGTCAATCAGATCTTCTTCATGAAGAGGATCCTTATGGATTGCTGTAGGTTCCAAGCAGCAGATGTTTTCTGTCTGCAGGATTTCCTCAGGTATTTTGTTCTGACTTAGCAGAGCGTGAAACAATGTTCACATCTCCTGAAGTTATTTGAGGAGAAAGGAGATTAGGGCTGCTTCTTTGACCCACCCGTCTGTCATATTACAACTCCCATGTTCTAGCCGCAGATGTCCTGACTTTCCTGGGAAGGTGCATACAGCTTGAAGGAGGCAGTACTGATGGAGTGGACCTCTTCAGAATCTGGACCAGCAAGCAGCAGGTCAAGGTGACCCTGAAGGTAGATGTCAGCAGGGCTATCCTCCTCCTGCCTTCCAACTTTGCCATTGGATGGAACTGAGGCTACTTGACATTTGTGGGGCAGTCTACAGTGCGCTGAACGTACGGGAGGTCAGGGAAAATGGCAACAGACTGCAAAATGACCGTCTGCAGGAACTGCAAACAGGAGCGGCACCTGACTAAGGACTGCAAAGGGATCAAAAGCTGCATCAGATTGTATGGGGACTTGTACAAGGCCTGGCCAGGATGGGGGGGGGGGGGGGGTGGAATGGAGTACAAATGCGCAAATGGCCAGAAGTGGCAACACAAGCAGTGGACTCAAAAAGGATAGCGAGGTGCTACGGAAGCCAAGTCTTGTGGAAAGAGAAAGGAAGGTGTCTGTGAGTAAAAGAAACCAACTGGACCTCCACCTGAAAATACAGATCAATAAAGGAGGAGGCAGTGAACACAGTGAGGAAGAGAGTGTGGCAGGTGGTGAGGAGAAACCTGAAAAGGAAAACCCTCCAATCACACAGGGCCACCACAGACCAGCAGCAGAGAGACAGTTGTACGAAGAGCACACCAAGAACTCGTCTTCTGAAAAACAAGAGGATCGCCATAAACAGAACAAGAGGCAAAGAACTATGAGTGGGGAAGAGATGAGCACTTCCAAAGCCAGTTGGGAAACTTTGGGCATCATGAAGAGTCCAGTGAAACCCCACCTCTTGACATTGGGAACCAGGAGGTACTCAGTACAGCGCAGCTCAATGGGAATGGACACCTGCTCCATCAGCCTGGACCAGGAGAAGGCCTTTGACAGGGTATTGCATACCTAAATGAGGGATGTGTTTTGGGGAGGGAATGCATAATTAGACCCAACTGCTCCATGCGAGCATCGTTAGTGCCATCTTAATCAAAGGGTGGGCATCAGAAAGCATCCCAAATCAGGTCTGGGGTCAGGCAGGGTTGCTCGCTCTCTCTACCTCTGCTGCCTTGTTTGTGTGTTTTATAGAGCCTTTTGCTGAATCCATCAGGGAGGATGTGAGCCTGAGAGGGGTGACTATTCCAAGCAGTAGAGGCCTGCAGGTCAAAGCCTCCCTGCATATGGATGACATCACCGTTTTCTGCTCACATCCACTGTCAATGTGCAGACTCATGAGCATCAGTGACCAGTTCGAACTGGCCTCAGGAGCCGAGGTAAATCGAGGCAAGAGTGAGGCCACGTTCTTTGGGAACTGGGCTGACCTATCACTTATCCCCTTCACCGTCAGGTCAGATTATCTGAAGGTGCTCGGCATATGGGTTGGTGGGGCTGGGATGTGAGCAGAATGTGGGAGGAATGTATCACCAAGGTGAGGCAGAAACTGGGCAGATGGGAGCACCGCTACCTTTCCATTGCAGTTAAAAAAACCAGGTGTGAGGTGTTATTGGTGCAGATCTGGCCCATTCCCCAAACCTGCATCACTACAGTCACCGGAACCATCTTCCTCTTCATTTAGAGGTCTAAGATGGACCATGTACAAAGCTCTGGATAAAAGAGCGGGGAGGGGGTGGGAGTGTTGAAGTATATACCCAACACCACCCTATCCTGATGGTTACTTTTGTGTGGGCTGCATCAAGCTGTATGTAGACCCTCAGTGTGCAAACACTATATGTCGCTGTACTGAGATTCTGTCTGTCCCCAGTGTTGGTGTGGAGGGGTCTGGTCCAATTGTTATGGAAGGCTCCAAGTAGTTGGACTGTTCCATATTACCTGTCCCTCTTGGAAAAATTTGTAAAGCAAAACACCTTTGACCACAAGTCCATCAGGAAGTGGTCAGCATATAGTGTTCTTGAGACCCTGTGAGAGAAGAACAGAGTTAATCCTGTCAGATGCTTCCCTGAGCAGACTTTCAAAATCATTTGGCAGAATGCCTTATTGCTAGAACTTTCCAACAATCACCAAGCTGTAGCTTGGCTGGTGGTGAGAAGGCACTACCTGTGAGATCCTTCATGTACACCCACACTCTCTCACAACCACACGGTGCCCTCGAAGCAGCTGCACTGGTGGGAAGACTGTCACACATCTGTAGCTGGAATGTGCTGATGCAAAGAAAGTCTGGAGAGAGATACAGTGGTTTTTGTTGAGGTTCATCCTGAGCAGCTCTGTGATGCAGGATTCTGTGCTCCGTGTACTGTTCCCCAGGACGCACACTGAGACAAACAGCAACTGCACCTGGAGGGCCATCAACTCAGAATGACACTCTTTGGTGTGCCCGAAACTTGATGGTCTTCTCATGTAAAGAGTTGACCTCAATTGAGTATTGCAGACTGGCACATTCCAACGTTCAGGACTATGTGCTGAGAGGCACACTAGAATTAAGAGAAGCTGCCACCAAGATGCCGTGGTAAAGAGCACCATCTAAGATCTTACTGCCAAAGTACAGTGAGGGTCCGTATTAGACTCTCCCAGTGTGGCAAAATATATCTTAAATAATGTTCTGCAGGAGTAGAAAATGCCTTTTATTGCAACTGCAGGAAAGCCCTGAGGAATGTAAAATTCCAATGTGTTTGTTTATTTTCCTGTGCAGATTTGGTACGGATATTCTTTAGAACTTCTTTCTGTACTTAAAGATGATTTTTATGAATAAAGTATACTTTCAAAATCAAAATAATACGATTATGACGTAAAGTTCTCCAAATGTATAGTACCTGTTGCACGGCATTATATTGTTCTTGTGGTCAAATCACTGAAATATATATGTTTAAAATCAATGAGTCTCCATTCTAACAGTTAAATTGACCACAGTTGTCTTGCTGTTCTCTATTTTATCCAGCTTTGACTTTTTTTTTAGCTGTTAATGTTGCTACTTTTTATCTCTGGAGAGTTAACTTAAAGTCCAGTCAAATGGCAACGTACTAGAATTTCTGGAGGCGAGCAGTTTACAAAGGTCAACAGTCAGTCATGGTCATAGCTTCCACTGGGCAAACATCCACAAGATAAAACTGATGTTAGTTGGGCAGCCATGGGAGCTGAAAGCTACTGAGCCATAAGAAAAATAATTGATAATAGCTACAGTCTAATTTAGGTCAACCTGTATCTGCAGGAAAGTGGTGACACACATCACTCTCTATTCTGTCCACTTGGTTTCAAGTCATTGTGAGATCAGTATCCAAACAAACCGAAACTAACCAGCCAATATTTCTTCTCCAGAACCCACTGCAGCAAACCAAACTTTGACTTCAACAAAACTGAGCTGACTGCAGCTTTAGTGTTGTACAGTTCAGTCTCAACAGCCAAACTTTAGCTGTTACGATGATAGATTATTGACTGCAGCTGTTACAGTGCAGCCTAAATAGTAACTCTGGTATGAGTAATATCCTGACACAATTCTTTCACTGTTATGAATTTTCTAACACACAAAATGAAACTCACTATCCATATGCCCGATTTATTGGGTGAAGGGGCTTGCAGCACATTTGCATGTATTCCCAGAAGTGTGTATTATATACCTTGAGTCAAGTTGTTAGACTCGTGGTATGTTGTTGCGAGCATAATTGCTGTTGCTAATCTAAACAGCCAGCTTATACAGCAACAGTGGTGAAGCACAGATTTGCTGTAGAGCTCCAAATGTTCCATTAATCACAGGAGTTTCACTGATCTCCTGACAAAAGGTTATGTATTTTCTTTAAAAATCTGCTGGTGCAGCTTTATACTATTTAATGCAAAACAACTGAAGTCATATTTGATTAAACATTGTTGGAAATAGCTATGAGGGCTGGAGTTTACTTCATAGTCACAAGAGTAAAACTTGAAAGGTTTATGGACACCTAAGATTACACTACAGCTTTATATTTCCTTATCCTTGATCTCTGCCATGTGTTACTGTTTTATGTCTTAATAAAATGAAACCATTTCATTGACACAAAGATGTAAGTACAATAAATTACTTTGGTTGCGGACAGTAAGAGAAGTTATTGGAATATCATTTTTACAGGCTAATCCCACATGGTTTGCAGAAGAATAAAACTGTACAATATTACAACTTAACAATTCTAAAACAGCCAGATAATATTTAGCATTAAAGTCAGGCACCTTGAGATGGTCAAGCTTTTCATGTGCAGTGTGTTGGTGTCCCAGATCACTCTGAGCTGATGGTGTCACTGAAAATCACAGTCCGAATCAACTTTCTTGGTGAGCAAGGTTCTGTCTGATCATGGTTGATGGGCTGTTGAATCTCAATATACTTGGAAACTGCACTTTTGAAATCTCTCTGGTCTGTGTTTTGTTCTTCTAAATTGTAAGAGTAAGTGTAAATCTTTCTGTGGCCAAAGTGCTAAGAAATTCAATCCCAGTTGTATAGGGCAATGCCCTTCATCACTGCACCATCAAAGCTTGCAAGGTCAGTGGTTGGCCACCTGATTGACATGGGGCACGCAGCCACCTCTAACTCCTATTTCTCCTCATGCCTGGAAACTTAATGCTTTGCAACGATTCAGAATGGGGAGATTCTCTCTCACTGCCACTGCGAACCAGAGTTCCCTTTAAGGTATGCCCTTGTTCAAGGTGCAACAGTCCATCAAGTGCCATATGCTTAAATTATTACGTCTGTGCACCTCCTGATGGTGTACTGAGGACTATTGCCAAACTAACCCATGAGTAAAGAGCTGATGGACTCTCCCATAACAGGAAATTACGAAGTGAGAGCTAGACCTCACTGTGAGTGAGGGTTTGTGGGAAGTGCCACAAAGAGGAAGGAAACGAATCAGCAACTGAGAGAGTATACAAGTGGGAGTGTCGGGGACTGTCGAATGCACACCTGAAATGAAATCTTTGCTCGCATTCCCCCGATTGTTAGTCGAACTGATCTCAAATTCTGGTTTCTCTCTCCAACTCTTTCGGTCTCTGGCTCTACTACAGTGTGCAGCAATGAAATCTGTGCTCACCCAGCACTTGTTTCCTCAGTAATCTCATTTGCTGCTTCCTTCCAAAACCCTCATACTCAACATTTCAGTCCCTGACACTCCCGCTTATAGACCCTCTCAATCCCCAACTCGTTTCCTTCGTCTTTGTGCCCCTTCCCACAAAACCCCACTCACAGCGAGCATTAAGAAGAGTGAGACAGCAAGCTGAAAGATCAGGGGGAGAGGTGGCAAACTGGAAAGGAGCCATGAGTGCAAGTGTTGGTGAGTTGGAGCATCGGTAGGAGGGCATGAAAAGGAGGGGAGCAAGAGAGTTGGGTGAGGGAAATGGTGAGACAGAAAAGGAGGCAGCAGTTGTAGGTATGTTCAAAGAGCCAAGTTATTAAGAGTTGGTGAGCTATTATGATATTTTGTTATTAAGAAATAATGAGACAATTTCAGGGATGGAAAAGAAAAGGATTAAAAAAAGGAAGCCTTGCAATTATGTACTTCTTTACAACCCACAAAGTCCTAAAGCTTTACCAGTTGTGAAGTACTTTTGAAGTGTAGTCACGGCTGTAAAACAGAAAAGGACATAGCCAATTTATGCACAACATTCTACCACAAACTTCAATATAATGACTAGATAATCTGTGTATTTTAGTGATATTGATTGATGGTGTAGAAATTGAACACACAAACCTTTGGCTTGGAGCCAGAAGTGCTACAAACGAGTCAAGTCTAATACAAATGGATATAAAAGGTCCCATAGCACTTTCTGAAGAGAACAGGGCACTTTCTTGCAACTTGACCGACTCTACCAAATCTGCCTGAAAAGAAAAATTGCAGTGTGTTGCTACGTAAGCAAATGTGGACATTCCACAACGATTACACTTCAGAAGCATTATCTGCAGTAAAGTGTTTGAAGACATCCTGAGGGAATGGAAAGGCACTATGGAAAAGCAAGTTATTTCTTCAAAAAACTTTAAATTGACAATTATAGTTCATTAGTCTTTGATTCCATGCATATCTTGTCATCACTGCATGGTTGTGAAAATCAGTGCTGTACATGCACGCAGTAAATACAATGAACATTTACGATGAAGAAAGCATAAGGTTAGGAGGCCACATATGAGTATGTCTTACCTTGAAAATGATTTTTTGAGATCAATAGTAACAACAACGATTTGTGATGGATGATTTATTTGCTTATCCTGCCGGACTGCAATAAGAATAGGTTGCTGTACTGTGTGCACTAAATAATACTTGTCTATTAATTGATAATTTCTTTATTGTGTTCCCAGTTTAGTGACCCTGTCCACGAGCTGCTGCTGGAAGTTATTACCTGGGTCGGAATCCTGATATCACTTGTCTGTCTCCTGATCTGCATCTTCACCTTTTGTTTCTTTCATGGACTTCAGAGTGATCGAAACACTATTCACAAAAACCTTTGCATCAGCCTCTTTGTGGCCGAGTTGCTTTTCCTAATTGGAATCAATCGTACAGATCAACCGGTGAGCATGTCTAGTTTTATAGTTAAAGACCTAATAGACTTAACTAAAATGGCAATCACATTGAGTCCTTTAACTTTAAAGAAAATCCCGTGCAATTGTTTCTTTCACCATGTAAAGGTGCCAGTGTTGGACTGGGGTGGACAAGGTCAGAAGTCACATGACTCCAACAGATTTATTTGAAATTGCAAACTTTTGGAGCACAGCCCCTTCGTCACCTGTTGAAGTTATGTGACTTCTGACCTTGTAGTTTCTTTCACTCATATCTGAGGACAAATTGGCTTTTTCCAAATGATGAGCCACTGATATCTCAACTAAATTGTTCTGCACGTGAGAACTTTGAGAATGAGAGCAAGATATTCTGTCTCTGAGGATCATTGCAGCCAAGGCTGATCATTGGGGCCAACTACTGAAAAATTTAAAGATTGAAGAACCTTAAAGAACCCTTATCAATCAAGTTTTGTCTCTCATGCATTGAGCCATTGCCATCAATTGCCTTTACTATCAATGTGATTAAGATTAACAAACTCTCAATAGCCCTGGGACTGAGCTCTCAAAATGTATTTGGCAAGTGCTTGAAAGATCTTTTTTTCCCTGTTTTTCCACCATGTGAAAAATGCTATACCGATTTTGTGAGGATGACAGGCAATCTTTATAGAACTATTGACACCAGCTTGAATCTGCATCATCATTCACTATACTGGAAACTCTGTGAATGCTAGGCCTCTGCCTCAGATCAGCTGTCCTCATACCAACCATCATCAATTTAACATTTATAGGAATGTTTCATTCTGTCAAAGGTTATGGACACTCATTCATTCACTTTCTTAAAGGACTACGTGTAAACAACTTTAACAGTTTCAGGTTTAAGATATTTCCGTGGATGAATACAATTTGAAATATGGTGAGACTTTGCTCACTATCAACTTTGAAGCTGCTCTATTTAATTGAAAAAGTTAAAATGCAGAGACAAAGTTTGTTCCACATAATTGATTCTGTCTTCTCTCCTCTAAAGCTTAAAAAATAATAAACCGTGTGCATTTTTGTCATAGTCGTTTTGAGCATTCTGTTTCTTTCAGATGACTTAAAATGATAGAAACTATGCTACTAAACTTAAATATTAGTTCTGATGCAAGGACGACACTTTCTCAATCTTTATTCCTAAACTGTTTGCCCAGTCTAGTGCTTTGACCCCAGTCAGATTATTTGGTCAGTGTTGATTTCTGTCATGTTGCGATTTACCAGTGACATGTAAATAAAACTTCCAATTTCCCCTCAAAGTGACAATTTTGAGAGGATTTCTTCTGCTGGTCCATGCCATAATCTATTAGGTCTCACTTTTCTCAGCTAAAACTACTCTAGTACCATCCATTACAATACACTAAAAATTGGCCCCGCACCCATCCATCTTTGTTTTTTTTATTAAGAAAGGAGTTTAAGGAACTCATGTAATCACTACAAATCGGTACCATTGTCTGTTGGATCTTTTCCTTCTCCTTGCTCACCATGCCAAAGAAAGGATTTTCAGGTCTATTGTGAAAGGGTGGGGAATGACACTGTGTGACTTCACTCTTGAAGAGAGATGGCGCAGACAGAGTGGGCTGAATAACTTTCTTCTGTGTTGGAATCATTCAATGATTCTATTCGATTATTCACACCCTAGATTGCTTCCTGCTCCAGCCCTAGCCAAACTTCCCTATCTTTCTAATTTCTCTCCTAGCAACCTAAGTATTGTATCAGAGCCCGTCACATCCAGGAAAGTCACCTCTTGTTCCCTTGACTACATTACTGCTAAAGTCCTGGTCATGCAACTTCCCTGCCTGTCAGTTTTGCAGGCTGCAAAACACCTATCATTACTGTACCTCAATGAAACCCACTCTTGACTCCTTACAAGCTGTCCCATCTTCAAGCTCTCTTCTGTCTGTGAAGTATTGTTACCTCTCAAATATGTGCCCTTCCTTCCCATAATAAAAAATTCATTGTAATTTGAAGTCAGCGCACACTGTTTGTGGGGTACGATTCTGCATTAGGGGCTTAATTGACATGAAAGAAGATGGTTCTCGTTGCCGAAAACGTCGCAGTGCCTGTTCATTGTTGCAAGAATTCCTCAGGGTAGTTTCCTAGGCCCAACCATCAGCTGCTTCATCACTGAACTTTCCTCCACTCTATCAGAAGTAGACATGTTTACTGGTGACCACAGAATCTTCAGCCCTACTTGCAACTCCTCAGATACTGAAGTAAAGCATGCCCACTTGCAACAAGATGTGAACAGCATTCAGACTCGGGCTACTAAGTGACAAGTGACATGTGGGTCACACAATTGTCAGGCAAAGACTGTCTCCAACAGGAGAGAATCATCTTGATGTTCAACAGCATCATCATTGCTGAATCCACCACCGTCAATAAACTGGCAGTCACTATTGACCAGAAACTTAGTTAGACCAGCTACATAAATACTGTGGCTTCAAGAACAGGTCAGATGCTGGAGATTCAACGGTAAGTAACTCACCTCCTGACTCCCCGAATGCCTGATCACCATTTACAGGGCGGCACGGTGGCTCAGTGGTTAGCAATGCTGTCTCACAGTGCCAGGGACCCGGGTTCGATTCCAGCCTTGAGCAACTTTCTGTGTGGAGTTTGCACATTCTCCCCGTGTCTGTGTGGGTTTCCTCCGGGTGCTCCGGTTCCCTCCTACAGTCCAAAGATGTGCAGGCTAGGTGGATTGGTCGTACTTAATTGCCCATAGTGTTCAGGGATGTATAGCTTAGGTGGGTTATAGGGGCATGGGTCTGGGTGGGATGCTCTAAGGGTCGGTGTGGAGTTGTTGGGCCGAAGGGCCTGTTTCCACACTGTAGGGATTCTATGAAATCAGGAGGGTGACAAAATATTGTCCACTTTACCTGGATGAGCACAGCTCCAATAACAGTGAAAAAACTTAACACCATTCAAAACAAAGCAAGCCACTTGATCAGCATCCCATCCAGAACCACAAATGTATGCATCTCACCAAAACTCCTTCAACACTTTCCAAACCCAGAACCTCAGGCACCTGAAAGGATAAGGACAGTGGATGCCTGGGATTACCATCACCTGCAAATTGCCCTCCATGTCACTCACCATCCTGAATTGGAACAATTACCATCACTCCTTATTTGTCACTGTATCAAATCCTTGAACTCTGTCCCTTCCTAATTGCAAAGTGATTCAACCTACACCACATGGACAGATGTAATTTGAGAAGGCATTCAACAGAACCTTCTCAAAGGCAGTTAGGCATATTGTATCTTGCCAGGAACAATCACATCCCTAGAACATAATTTAAACAATTCCCTATTTGAATCATTCCAATTAGATTGCCGTCCAGCTTTAGCTCCAAAACAACCTTAACTGAATTTCCAAACCATGGTGACTTGGATTTTACCATAGAGTTTGGACATGGACACAGTACAGATGTCTTTCCTGCTTTGTCCAGTTTAGTGGAGCTGTCACCCCAGAGAATAGGCAGTGACAAATTTTCCATTGAGAAGCAAAATCTTGGCCCCAAATCCAGCGGGGACCAACTTTAGCACTAGTAAGCTAGTGATAGGAGTATACCATTCAGTGCTTGAATCAGTTCCATCTTTCGTAGCTGATCTGCAATTCAACTCCATAAATGCATCTTTGTCTCATGTTCCATAAAGCATTTGATTTTTGTTAACCAGTCTTAATTTAAAACAAACAATTTGCCTTAATTCAAGAAGGGGCTTTCAAAGTTTGTACAAGAAAATGTTTCATAATCTCAGTCCAGAAAGGCCTAGCCCAAATTTTAGTAGACACCGCCCTCTATACTTGTGCAACCCAACCATTGGTGATAGTTTCTCTTTATCTTCTTTTGTACCAATTTATGCCTTATTTGTGCAAAGTGAATGTGACAGAACATAGAAGGGTTAATTTCCAACTTCACTGACTGGGAAGAAACCCAGTGAACCTGATTTTCTGTTTTGTTTCAGGAGTTGTTTTTGATTTCTCGGAGAAGTAAATTGTTGGGTACTACATCAACCGGTGGGTGCTCAGCTTCAGGTTATTGACCCATTGAAGAGATTGAAAATTACATCACATAATACTCAGTGATTGTAACTATAAGTGTCTTACCTGCTCCACTTTTGAACCACTTACACCTCTTTTATTCCTCTCCTTCATATACACTACTGCCATATATTAGGTAAAGTTATGGTCTGAAATCATTTGTTACTAATCAATAATTAAGCTATTTACAAAGTTTTGCATTCTGTAATCCTCATTTCACTGAACACTTTCAGATGAGCTAACTTATGTACTTTAACTAAGATTTAACTTGTTCAGCATCATTTTGTCCTCTTTTGTCAAACATTTCTAACTTGTTTTTGACAAATAGGATCGCTCAGAGTAGGTATGATTAAAATGTAGCCGCTCCTTCCCTCCAATCCAGATTACTGTTTTTGTAAAGCATTGTGAACAGCAGGATTTGTTCCTATAATTCTTCAGCAGTTTTCAACTGTCTACTTAGCAGTCAAATTGGTGCTTAAAGGATTGATTGATGGTCCATTTACGCTAGTGTTTGTGATGCATCCTGTTGGTTTTTTTGGTGGTTGACTGTGTTTAAGTGTTTTAAGTCAAAACAACCAAGTCTATAAAGTTTAATGATTCCAGGAATGACTGATGGATTTTGGAAAGCTGGATGTGAAGTGAGTCAAAACCCACTGAGAAATCTTTATAGTGACATTTGAGGGTCATGTGTTGAGTCGTTATATTTGTTAAAATTCCATAAGCATTCCCTTGCTGAAAGCTAGTCAATTAACATTGTTTTTGTTATGTTAGACAAAGGCTTTCTGATTAAAAGAAGATACTCGATGCTGGTGGAGAAAGAAGAATACAACAATTGATCTTTAATGGACAAAGCCCTTGTCTGCCAATGTATTCCCTTAAACACCACTTCCTATGTTTCTCACCCGAGAAAATTTCTCTTGCATCATTGTTACTCCACGCCTTCTCAGGCACAGGGGGGAAAGAAAATATTTTAACCAAAAACAAAAATCAGTGGCCCTCCGTAGAACTCATGGAGATTTTTGAGTTGGTTACGTACTCAGTAACCAAGATAAAGGAAACACTTGTCCTAAACTTCTGCCACCATTGAATGTGCAAATTAGCTGCCTGTAAGGGACTTTATCACATGTAACCTCAGCTAGTCATTCAGAAGAAATTGTGATAATTGTAATATCTGACGTCAACGAAGACTGTAAAAGTTTAGGAGTAAAAGAATCATGTCGCTCATCTATCTGTTTGTTTCTTGCAGATTGCTTGTGCGGTATTTGCTGCTTTGCTTCACTTCTTTTTCCTGGCTGCATTCACATGGATGTTCCTGGAGGGTGTTCAGCTCTACATTATGTTAGTGGAGGTCTTTGAAAGTGAGCACTCCCGCAAAAAATACTTTTATCTGGTTGGATATGGTGTACCTGCACTTATTGTCGCTGTCTCAGCTGCTGTGGATTACCGGAGTTATGGGACAACAACAGCGTGAGTTTCCAGTTTGCTTTGAAAATCCCTTACCAGACACACTGATTACTTCTGGCGTATTGATGAATTTATAAACATGGGCTCCCAGTAGTTTGGTTTGAATAATTTAATGACCTTTTATCACACCACAGCTACAGATTTGCACGAAGAATACAGATGGAGGTGAATACATCGAGATGGGTCATTTTCAGGTTGTCATTTGTCAGTAAAGAACTTCATTTTGGCAAAACTTCTCACCCTTCATACACCAGGATAGTTAGTCATTTTCAGCAATCGGTCATTTTGTTGAAAAATGGGAGCAGGACTAAGTCTGCAAACTTCTGAATCCCACTATTAGTGTGAAATATGTGTCGCTGGCTTGCATTGTGTGGGAAATGGTTTCCCGATGTGATTTTTCACCTGGCCAGCCAAGTAATGGCCAGGCTCACCACTCAATTAAAACTCAATTGAAGCTGAAGGGCCAATCAGAGGACTTTCCACTTGAATAGCAGCCTGTGATGGCAGGTGAATAACAGTGCTGCGTAATTGAGTTCTCACTGTGACATTTTCAAAGATAGTTTTTTTCGTCAGGTCACCACTACAGGCTGTGGAGATGGGGTCCTCTAGAGGATGACTTCTGGCTGCTGTGTCACCTGCCCAGGCAGACAGAAAGGACCCCTAGGTCTCCCTGGATCACTGGCCCTTGTTATTCCACTGGGAAGTGTGACAAAATGTGCCTTTAAGAGGGATTTGTTCTGTCCTGTTTCTCTTGAAGAAAGATGTTGTGAACCTGGTGTCGAGGTGTCTGCTCCATAGAAAGCAGAATAAACAGCTTTGGGGTTTATTTTAAATTAGATAAAAGAAGCATGAGTGAGTGAAGCCAGGCTCTCACAGACCCAGCGTTTTAGTTTTTCCTTGTAATTGTTGAAAATGGGGTTATTGGACTTGAAGCTGCTAGATATAGCTCTCTCTCTGCTGCAAAAGCTTGAGTTCTCACTCTGCTTCTAGATTTATTCTGTCGGTGTTTCCTTTCTCTCGGACTGAAGGAGATAGCAAGTGAGGGAAATCTGTTTTGTTGAATTTGCCTTTGCCAAGGGTGTGTTTATTGGATGCTGCTATACTGGAATAGTTGATGAGTAGGAATTAAACAATATTTTGTTAAGCGTTTCAATAGTAAAGTTATACCACTTCTTTTCTTTTTGTTTATATTTTAACTGTAGTGTAAAAATAAAGTGTGTTTTGTTTAAAGACTAGTAGTTTGACCAACCAAATCACATCTGGAACACAGCACCTTACACTTGCCTTTAAACAAAATAAAGGTTAGGATCTAGTTTATCTCCTTGATTTTTTTTTGAGGGTGTTTGGTCTGGTCCATAACAGAAGCTTCCTCCACACTTTGTTGAAACAAATGAAGTCTTCTGTCCATGTTTCTGCAATTCCTCATCAGTAATAGCATGTTTAAGCAATTTTTATGTAGCTAAGTTTATGGGATTGATAATTAATTTTCATTCTTATTTTGAACGCACGTCCAGACCCTTCTTTTTTTTTAAAGTTTGTAATTGTATTCAGATGGACTTCTCAAATCCATTCTGTTCATTTATCTGACTGCCATACATGCAGGAAGCTGCAAATTGACTGACTGAAAAACACCAGCCATCTTGACCACAACCCACACGCCTCCCACTGCCTCTAACCATTACCTGTATTACTGCCAATATTACCTCCCTATGCTCCCCTACTTGCCCTCTCCCCCTGTGAGGGGAAAAGTAAGCCTGAGAATAGAATAGGGCGAGGAAATTGACAGCCTAGCCACCAGACCTGCTTCTACATCTCGCTAATCCTGGCCCCATCAGGCTCTGAACTTCAAGCTCCTGATGTGCTAAAGTAAAAGCAGCTGGTTAAAGTACCATTGCATAATCAAAATTACTAGACAAGCCTCTGAATAACTGTACTACTGTAAAAATTTTATTCGTGCAAAAGAAAATATGTTTTGTGAATGAAAACAGAAGAAGTTGATAGAAATATTTGCGCAAGAAAAATCTTTTAATAGACATTCTTTTCTACTTTTCATTTAAAACCTGTTGCATCTCTTAAGTTTTCCCAGCTCTCATGAAAGGTTGTTGACTGGTAATATTAATCCTCTTTCTTCCTCCATAGAGGCTGCCTATCCTGTTGAGTATTTCTGGCATGTTCTGTTTTTATTTCAGATTTTGAATATCTGCAGTACTCCGCCTGTGTGCACATAATGCCAACTATCACATCCTTCTTTGGAATGCTTTGTTAAAACAAGTGAAGTCTTCTGCCCATGTTTCTGCAATTCCTCATCAATAACAGCACATTTAAGCAATTTTTATGTGGCTAAGTTTATGGGATTGATAATTAATTTTCATTCTTATTTTGAACGCACATCCAGACCCTTTTTTTTTAAAGTTTGTAATTCTATTCAGTTGGACTTGTCAAATCCATTCTATCCATTTATCACATAAATGTAACTGAACGAAGAAGGCAATTTTCAAGAGAGCTCCAAATTTGATCCTGCTGAATGTAATGGAAATTAGGTGATTAATAATTTAGTTAAAGGTCATATATCTGTCTGAGCTCTCCACAATATTTTAAAGCCAGGAATTATTCCTGCTTTTAATAGGACATAGTTTTAACAACCTTAGAGCCTAATCACCACAGCTCATCAAAGTTCAAACCATGCTCTTCAGTTTATTTTGGATCAGGTTTTACTCGGCCAAAGCTAAGATCTAGTCCCGTTCAATAAATGATTGACAGGTTGTAGTTAATGGGGAGGAGAAAGCAGCTTAAAGCTCGAAAATGCAATGGCTATGTTAAGTTTTTATTTCCCTGTGATGATTATCTGACAGCTGAAGAAAGTGCTAGCACACATGTGCTGTCATCAAGTCTTGTGCCATTTCTCTGCTTGCTTTTCCGAGAGTTAATTATCTTCTTCCATCAATTGTGCTGTCAAAAAATGTGCCCATAATTCAACATTTAAATGAACAATGGTGTAATAATTCCTGGCTCTCAGCAGCTTATTTTGCAGAGTACATTCCTCTCTGTCAGTCCACTGCTGTTGATGTATGTCCTGCACTCAGACCTTGAATGCTGTCCCTTGCGTTTCATTACAGATGTTGGTTGAGGCTCGACACCTACTTCATTTGGAGCTTTATAGGTCCTGCAACCTTGATTATTATGGTAAGTGCTGCTAATTAACACAACACCTTCAAGGGCACAAAGCAGACTTTCACTGGACCTTCGCTGTACGCCCTTAATTTATAGGCATTCATTTTAAAAATAAATAATCCTCTCTGACCAGTTAGCCACAGTGAGCAATTATAGGGCTTTAGTATGAACAAGAATATGATTGTTATTTCTGTAGCTATAGGTCCATAAAGAATAACTGTGATGAAATAGCCAATTAAGAAATATAAAAAAGGGTGTTTTAACATTTAGTACCTCCAATTTATGAAAATATATCATAGTATTGTTCATTATAATCTCCGATTACCTTGACCTTAAGTAGACTCTTCAAATTTGTTTTGCTCCTAATTATAGCTGTGCAATTTTTTAATGATGATGCCAATTCTGACTCATGCAGAATTTCTGAAAATTGCTGCTGAAGTTGTCAGTGAACATCTTGTTCTGTAGTGGTGATTCTCCTAATCTACTACAACTGGATACTGCAAAAACAGTTCACCAGAAATCTGGAAATCGCAACAGACCATTGGAATTCTCAATACATTGTGCATCAATGCATGTAGATTCATTCAAATTTGTGATCTGCGATAGAGGAATGGCACTGATTTTTAATTTTCAATATTCTCATTGAAGAAGAAAAAACTCCCAAGGGAAAGTGATCTTACCATGATGGCGATTATTGTTGTAGAAAATTGAAAGGAATAGTAGAGCATGAGGAACCCTAAAAGAGATGACATTTTAAAATTACGAAAAACGAAACCTCATTTTGTTTTATTTCTTAAATTTGCAGTTAAATGTGATATTTCTTGGGATTGCTCTTTACAAGATGTTCCATCATACAACTGTGTTGAAGCCAGAATCTAGCTGTTTGGACAATATCAAGTAAGTTACTACCATCAACTTCTATGAACATTTTCTTCTTTAAGAAAGTTGTTAATTTAAAATCCAGAAATGAGTAGGTAGTTCCCAGATTTTTGCCTGCTTTTGTGTTACTTAACAATTGCACAATGCATTATCCTTTGAACTTTGTTCAATAACTAGAAAGGATTGTGTAATGTTAAGATGTTAGTTGCCACCGATGTGAAACCTATCTCGCTGTTGATCTAGTATGGATGCTGCTATTGCACTTTATCACCTTGGCACACAATTCCTTGAATTGATAATGGAATTTGTGAAACAGCCGGAACTGTGTTCAAACTCTTAAACATGCTAAGTAACAGTCAACCAGCTATCTATTCCTCAGCTGCAATGTCACCACAGGTTCCCTTTTCAGGCAGGGTTATAAATGGGGTGACTTGAAAGATAGTCAACATCATATCCATTTGAACATTTCTTTTCCTTCTGAATTTTGAACCAGCATCTATTTTCTGTCACAAGTCATTTAGTCTGATATGCATCCCCTCGTCTTTATTTTCACTTCCTCTGGCCACTCTGTCAAAACTAGTTATATTTCTTACGTGTAAAAGACCTTGCATGATTTCCATGCCCCATGCACACACTGTGAAAAAGATTGTGTTTCAGTTCACTAGATTGTCATTTGAGAATCTGATCAGCACTGCAATCTCAACACATTGCTCTAGGAAGCAAGCAGTTTTGATGAATTTAAAGGGACAAAATGCTAGATTCTGTGGGGTGTTTTCTTTGCAACAGGATTTTATGCAGGTAGCAGACTGCCAGGTGGATGTTTTGATATTCAAGCACACCTTCAGGGCAGGTTAGTGTGACAGCCCTGCAAGTAAATTGTTTTGTTTTTGTTTATAGTGGTTGTGAGTCTTTGTTGTAACTTTTTTTGTTTTGACTTGGAAGATTCCTGTGATCTTAATTATTTTCACACCAGAGACTTTCAACATTCTAGCACAATATTAAATTCATCAGTGTATGATTCTGCTCCCTCCATACCCCAACCCCCACCCATACCTGAAGAATGGCCACTTATTTTCTGCTCAGCTGGAAAAATTTAAAATTTCAAAATTATGTAAAAAAATGTTTTTTTTAGGCAAACTTAATCTTTCTTTCCCCAACACTATCGCCAGCATCTTGTGTAGTGATTGTAATGAGGTCAGCCAAGTGGACCTTATAGAATATGAGTTCCCTGATTGAGGCTGTTAATCTCATCCAATCAGGGAGCCCTGGCTGACAGATATAAGTAGGAGTGTCAGAGGTTCTGTTCGCTCTGAGAGCTGGCTCTGAGGAAGTCAGACCAGTGTCAAATACTATGCACGTGTAAATAATGGGTGATTTGATGCTGGGATGCTGGCCTCTGAAGTTATTTCACTTACATTGGGAGTGTTTGCTTCCAATTAAATATCCAACTAAAATGTTTTTGAAAGAGCAGCTAAACAGAATTTTCTACTGTCTCTGAACAGCCACAATTATTTGTGTTTTTCTTTAAATCTGATATTGGCACTTTGATGAAACAGTGTTTATTTCCCAAATGCAAGTATCTGATGATTAGCACATACTATCCTCAAACATGAATCAGTATTTCACTAAAGTCTGATCACCACCTATAAGACATAAGACGTGAGTATGATCGAATACTCTCCATTTAACTGAATATAGCTCCAATAGCACTCAAAAAAACTCTACACTATCTAGGATAAAGCAGCCTGCTTGACTGGCACCCCAATCACCACCTTCAATATTCACTCCCTTCACCAATGACACACAATAAAGTGTGTGTGAGATGCACTTTAGCAACGCATAAAACTTCCTTTAACAGTATTTTCGAAACTTATGACCCATCACCTTGAAAGGCAATTGCATAGAAGCACCACAATCTGCGCGTTCCCCTCCACACTGAACAGCAACCTTTCTTGGAAATGTATCATCTTTCTTTTACTGTCACTGGGTTAAAACTCAGGAACCTGCTTCCTAATAGCCTCGTGGGTATATTGTCATTACATAGACTGCAGCAGTTAAAGGAGGTGGCTCTTCTTTCCATCAATACTTACATCCTATGAGCATGATACATATAACATGTTGTACACCAATAGTAAGAAGTACGGAAGAAAGCAAGAGTACGGAATATACTCTGGGTGGAGGACTTCGGTGTACATCACCAAGGTTAGCTCATTAGAACCACTTCTTGCTGATTGACTAAGTCCTGAGATTGCAGATTTATGAGGGGAAAAAATACTTGATCTTACCCTTGTCAAACTACTTGTCTCAAATGCATCTGCCCAGATAATGTTTTTGTGATGTTAATTGAGGAACAAGTATTGGTCAAGACACTATGGACAGCCCTTCTCATCTTCCTCAAAATAGTGCTGTCAGCTGTTTCACATCTGCCTGAGGAACTAGTCAGTCATCAGTTTAATGACTCGTATGAAATAAAGCATCTCCAGCATTGCAGCACTTCTTTATTGCCTCAAGTGTCAACTGCTACTTTTCTACTCAAGCTGTGGAGTAGGACTTGAATGCAAAATCTTGTGACTGAGCTGCAAGTGTTAGCAACCCAATAATGGCTGACACAAAAGGCTGAAATAGTCACAACCATCTTGAGCCATATATACTGAGAGGCTGATCCATATAAGCCTCCTCCTGATATCTCCACCATCACAGGAACCAGTCTTTAGGTAATTCATTTCGTATCAAGAAATGGCTGGCCACAAAGGCTACAGTCTTCACAACATAAAGAGTTACACCTCTAGCTTAATTATTTTAGTAGATCCTCACTATTCGTATTTACCCAACAAATTTTAACAATTCTCCAGCTATGTGCACTAACAGCAGAATAAGTCCAATCAGGTGAATAACGGCCATATCAGCCCTGTCGATTATCAGCAAATCATGAAAGGTGTTATCAACAGCGCTTTAAGATGGCCCCTTACTCATCAATAATGTGCTCAGCAATGCTCAGTTTGTGTTCTACCAGGCCTACTGTACCCCAGATTGTCCAATGATGGACAGAAGAGCTGAAATTCAGTGGTGAGATGACAGTGGATTCCCATGAGAATGAAGGCAGCATTTGACTAAGTGTGACATCTAGGGTAAAGTCGATGAGAATTGAGGGGATAAGTCATACCTAGCCGAAAAAAAATTGGTTGAGAGTGTTGTGTGCCAATTATTTCAGGGTATCACTGCTGGAGTCCTTGGTCCAACTATTCTTCAGCTGTCTGCATCTGTTGTAGACTAATCAATAAAGATTGATTTGTTGTTATAACAAGTCATCCATTCCGGTGCCACTGTATCGAGTGACTACCAGGAATTTATAAGATCATCCTTTGTCTTTTGTTATCTTGCAATTAATGTGCTCCTTCCCATAAAGAGAAAGGATCCAAAATGTGAAACCATATTTGGGTTGTATTCTGGGAAACGTAATGAGACGTCTCGCATTCTGCTGTCATACCTTGAAGAGAAGTCATGTCTGAGCTTTAAATAGGGAGCAGAATGTTTTGGATGGTGGAGTTTTTCATCCTCCCCCACCCGGAGAGTGGATAGGGAACAAATCACCAGTGATCACAGTAGACCCAAAATCATTTAACATTCTCCTGATGCTAATAAGCTGGAGATGGAATGGTCGCCCCACTCCCTCCCCACCCACCCCACTCAGATGGAACTCCCACCTCAGAGAGCTGTTGTCAAAACGAATTGGGTACCAGCTCAATAATGTCGGTAACAGCAAGACTGGGCTTATAAGCAGATCCCAGATTCTTAAGTCCCAGAGTGCAGCACCAGGTATGTGAAGGATCTCACATTGAGGAGGAGAAGTGAAACCTGGTGGAGTGAGGGGTCTCACCTTTCCTCCTTACTGCAAGATCCTCAACAGTACCTAGCTACTCAGCTGGCTGTAACTTGATTAGTCACGGCCAACTGTCCTTCCTCTAAGTTGAAGTCCTACTCACTTCGAGTAGTGTAGCCGCATGTTGAAGAAAACCACAAGAGACGCACTCACCCACCGCCCTTTTTTGTGCTTGAGGCCTGAGCAGGCACTGCTTCCACTCCTGCTAGTAGTTGTATAGTTAAAGACCTCTGACTGAAGCGGTGTGAGGGTGGGACCCTAGGTTTTGATGGGAGGACCACCCAGAGAACTTTATGGGCATTCACACCAGGGCACCCACTGGTAGTACATCATAAAATTCTGCCGAGGGTTTCTGCTAATGTTACGCTGAAGATGAGTAGAAATAAACTTTCATATCTGTCAAAATATACAAATGATGCTGACAATGTGTTGCTGAATTACAAAACAGTAGGCAAGCCTGTTAAAGATTACATAGTGAGCCGTAGGGATGATTTTTGACAGTGTTTAATCAGAGTTGAATGTTCTTCTCTATTAACATGACATCCAGCTTCAGGGAACTTTGGGTTCTGTTCTAAATTTTTATAGAAATTATAATTAACTTGTGTATGTTCTCGTGAATATGGTGGTGTTTTACTATCAGCATAAAACTCTCAAAGGTCAATCAAATTTTGCAAAAACTCCCCAATCAGTAGGACAACCTCACTGGAATTTGGTTTACTGCACTATGCATTGATATATTATTCCATTCAGTCATCTTTTAATCTTAAAATGCCAAAAAAATTCAGTAATTAATTTGAGTCCTTCTTTCTAAAGGACTTTGAATATCTTTCCATGCCTCAACCTTATACCCCTGTAAAACTAAATTAATCATTGCCTTTACATTAACAGCCAGCTCTTGTAAGTTGCAAAAAATCAGTGATGCATGACCTGTACTTTCTATCAAACAAACTGTACCACTGAGTGCTGAATATATCTGCACATGCATGACAAACGCATTAAGATATTTACTATACATCAGCAATGCTTTTGTTTTAGTGCATCTCTTTTTGGTTGATGGCTTTTGTCTGAATCAGTAAGAAATGCATTGTTTCCCATTTGCAATTTCTCAGTGTCATGTATTTTCAGGTCATTATATCTG